CTGGGGCAGCATGGAGGTGAGAGTGGCCATCCGGATTGGGCTCTCACCTTTCCACCATCAGCAGTCATGCTGGAGGAAGAGGGCTGAGCCCCAGCCAAGGTGTACTTGGGTCTGCATCCTTGGGCTGTATGCTTGGACAGCCCAGGAGCAAGATGGGATAGGCTCCTCCTTGACAGGGAATGCCACTGGAGCTTTTCTTGTAGCAGTAGGTTTTTTAAGCAAACCACAAGGTTATGATGTCCCCATGTCGCGTGTGTTCCCCCCGTGTGTCGTAGCATCCATTTGGCCCATCCTTTAGCTTGGTGGTTGTGAAATGAATCCATCTGTTCTAAGATGTTCTCAGGAGTTCTTGTTTGTATTAAGCTCACCCCTAGGCTTAGCAGAAATCACAGTCCCCATCCTCCCTGCTCCCCTCCCCGCAGACAAGCCCTCTCTCTCACGAGCACTTCCACCTTCTCCCCAAAGGGCAGCAGAGGGCAGCTGGCGGTTTTGATTCAGGGCACGTTGGCAGCTTTGGGCAGCCGAAGGAGCTGGGATGCAGCCGGCCAGCATTTGTGACATGGGTCTGGAGGCCAGGCGGTCCCACGGGCTGTATTGCTAGCCAATGTTTTCTAAGTCTGTTTGTAAGAGTACCTAATTTTAAAATGAAATGTGAATATATATTATGTGTAGGTGCCATGTAAGATAGTGTTGTGCTAGGCAGCAGGATGCTAACCTACTTTTTAAGCTTTTGGGGGGCAGGAAAAAGCATTTTTCTCACTTCATGCTCACGGATCTAATATTGTAAATAGGTTTTTAAAATATTTATTTCATGGGCTTTCCACAGGTTCTCGTTCTGACTGGTGTGTCGGTTGGTGGGGCTGTATTGCCCAGCGTGCCGCAACCAAAGGGCTGGCGATTGTGTGGGGGGATGGGATGGGGCAGGGTGGGGTGGGTGGGTGCTGGTGGTGGTGTTCAGTTTGGTTTTACGTCACGTCAAAGCTGAAGCATTAACTCTCTTCATCTCGTTTTGATGATGTCAGACCTGGTCGATGGCCACGGTCCCCAGGGAGGCCGTGAGTTCCCATGGCCAGCCAGGATGGCTGTTCCCCAGGACAGGGGGCACTGCAAGCAATAAGATTTGTAGTAATAATGTCTGCTTTGATGGCAGGGGCTCTCGGGGCTCAGGGCCAGGTGGGAATAACCCTGCTCCCAGCAGGGGCTCAGTCCAGCATGACATGGGGGGGGGTCTCTTGACCTGGAGGTACTCAAGGAAGTGTCCCCAGGGATGCAGGAAGTGGGGGATGCTGTCACCCCCAAGGAACCCCCCAAGACCACCGGGGTAGGGTAGGTGATTGCTGGTAGCAAACTCCCACTAATGAATTACTGCCTTTGTGGGTACGGGTGACCCAAGGGAGCACACCGCTGTCGCTGCTAGTCCTAGGGCTGGCTCCAGAAGGTCATTTGCTAATAATTCTGCAGTTTTAATTCTCCTTCTAGGAGGTTTGAGGTAATTTGGTAATTTTTGCTTAAGTGGGTTTAGATTTTTTTTTTCTTTGTTAATCCCTTTTTGCCTGGAAGTGTGGCTGGCTCTGACCTTCCAGTCCAACTGTCTGTGTGGGGCAGTGTCAGCAGGATCTGCTTTTATGATGATAGGTCTCTAACTCTGGAGGATGGAGTGAGGGGTGCTGCTGGGTCCCAGCCCTGCAGGACCCCTCACCAGTCCCATGCTTCCTTCACCCTTGGAACAGGTGTGTAAAAAAAGAAAAACAAAAAAAAAAAAGAAAAAAGGAAACAATTTTTTTCTTAAGATGTAAAACATTTAAATATTATCTCCACCCTGATGGCAAATGTTTTTCCTTCATCTGTGTCTGCTTCCCTGGGAGAGTTTTGTTTCTCTGTTTGTTTCTATATGAATTTTTGACACTGAGCTGAAATTCCTCCTGTCCGGTACTGTATATTTGAACCCAAGCAATGTGAACTGTACAGACCAGCAGTGGGAAGAGGGAGCCGGTGACTGCACCTGGGAGAGCCGTGGCTTGGGACGGCATTCCCAGTTGGTGTAGGGAGTGGGAAGTTCTGCGCCACAAGGTGGGAAAATGAACTGTCTGCTGTGAATTCTCGGTTGGAAATGTGGAGAGGAGTTTCCATTAGATAATGTTTACATACCTCACCTGACAAACCTTTGAAAGTGTATATATAAAAAAAATAAAATAAAATTATATTAAGTTGCTTTAAATCAATATGTATAGCTATAAGAGCTGGGTCATTTGAACTTTGAACATGTATCGATTCTCTAAATGTTGACATTTTGTGAACTCTGTGCTCCTGTCTTTTATTTCATCCTAGCCTATGGAAAAAGTTGTGTTCTTGTTCCAGGTAAAAGATCCCTGACTCAGATCTGAACTCCTCAAGGATTCCCACCACCTTGTTTTCTTTTCTTCCTCACTGTCAATATTCACCCTATGAGCTTTCTAAAGGTCCGTATTTTATTGCAGCTTATTAAACGTTTCTTTGATATCAATGTTTGTTTGGTGTGATAAGTAGGGAAGCAAGGTGAGTGAGTGCACGAGGTAGGGTGCAGCAGGCTGGCATCCTCCAAGTGTCAACCCCCTCCCTATGGAGGGGGAATATAAATGCCTGTGGGGGGTTTCAGTGCTCCCACACCAGTGCCTGAGCTGTGGCAGACTTGTGTTTGTGGCACCAACAGTGCAACCTCTTGGTGGTGCTGGGGACTGCTGCCCAGGCCCCCTCTACCCTTTCCCAGAGAGCTACAAGTGCCTGGTTTCCCCTGGAGCCATTCCTTCCCCACAGCAGGCACTGGCCCTTCAGCGTCCCACATGCAAGACCCTGGCAGTGATGGCTGCTTTTGCAAGGCATTGCATGGATAAGCCTGGCTGCTTGTCCCAGCACCATGGGGGCAACACGTTGGCCAAAAGCACTGGCCAGGGCTGCTCCAGGAGCAGGAAATCATCCCCCAAGGCACGACCAGCTCTTTCCATCCTGTGCCACCTCCTTACACACTCTGCAGCTCCCAAGCACCAGCTTCTCCCTTCTCCCCACCAGGAAAGAAGAGGCCAAGCCTCTGAATGAATAAATGTCATGTTCACATGGAAGACAACATAGACAATACCAAACATCTCCTAAAACAATACAGCCTCTGCCAGCGGAAGGATGCCCAGTGCCTCCCTCGCCAGCCTAGTACAAACCAGCGTCTTCAATAGTGACACACACAAACCCCACGGGCCAAACAAAGCCACCGTCATTTTCCTGCCCAGTAGCATCTGTAAACAAAAAGAAAACATCATTTGTTGACCCCAAACATATAAAAATACTATAACAAAATGAAATACAAATATATATTAGAATCTGTAAGTATTCTGTATAAAGAGATACTTTAGCGGTTAGCGTACAGCAAGAACAGAAACACAACACAACCAAGCCCCGGGTGGGCCACAGGCAAAATGAGACACATCCCAGCTCCTCTGTGTGGCAGAGGAGCTCTCATGGAGAGGGCATTTGTGGCAGAAGCACATCCCCGGGGTGGTGGAGATGCCCTGGATGCCAGTGGTGAGCAGGGATGGTGATACTGGGTGTATCCAGTGGAGGTGCCTGGAGCTCAGCCACAGCTGGCAGTGCCGACCTGAAGCCAAAGTGCTGGAGTGGTGTGATGGAGAGATCCAGGACTGCAGCTCTGGGATGAGTCTGTCCACCAGGGTGATGTGGTGTTTCACTGTCCAGCCATGTGCAGTGTCCCAGGTTGGGCCCCCACTATCCTTGGCCCCCACAGTCGTAGAGGTGATGCTGCTGTGGATGTTGGGTGCATGCAGTACCCCAGCAGGAGCTCCCCATGTGCCCCTGCTCCCACACCAGCCCAGCACATGCCCTGGCACTGTGAGCTTTGGAGAGATGCTGGGTATGGGCACTTGAGTCCCAGAGTTGGTGGGTCCTGCCCTAGCAGTGGTGTTGGCTCCAGACATGCAGGTTTGGACATCTTCAGCCTCTTCAACTTGGCATGCTCAAGACTGAGGCCACAGTGATGGCATGGCAAACGTGCATCCCAGCTGTCCCAGCAGCCTCTTGCTCCTGCTGGTTGGGTCAGTGGGACATGGGTCACTTTCACCCCACTGCAGGCCTGCTTCCCTAGGACAGAGCCTGGAATAAAGGGATTCCTGTGCTGCCCTCACACAGCTCCCACCTCTGAGCAGAACTGCCTGGCTGAGCCAGGGGTATTTGGGGCCCTCTCCACATGAATGGCACAGTGCTGGCCCCATGGCACAAGGCAGGTTGCCACTGGAACCCTCAGGGACATCTGTGCATTGCTGCCTGTCCCCCATTCAGTGTGCCTTGCACTGCCCTGGTCCTGCTCCACCAGTGTGTCCCTGATGTGACCACAGTGGGCTGGACCCATGTGTGCCCATGCACAAACTGGGGGTGGCACCAGAGGGTCAGGCTGAGGCCACGGAGCTGGGGACATTATCTGGGGTACTTTGGGCTCCAGCACCCTGCAGGGAGAGACACCAGGGCTGCTGGAGGAGAGGATGGGAAACCAGGTCTGGGCTCACCAGGACTGCAGGACACTGGTTACACTATGCAGCCCACTCGAAGCCATGGCTTGCCAGAGATCACAAGGTTCTGCCATGATAGCCTCCCTCCTCCTGTCCCAGGTGTTGGAAGAGCCCTCAGATCGCTGGGCTGATGCAAGGGACAGGGATGCCAGGGAGGAGACTCACCCAGGATGCAGGCACTGCCCTCCATGGCTGTGTGGCTTCACTGGCAGGGAGGCAGAGTGCCACAGGGAGAGGACAGGGCAGCTGGGCAGCAGGGTGCCCACTCCATATGCACATATCTGTGTAGCTGCAGTTCTTAAAAAAAATCCCTATCTACACATTTGCTTTGTTTGTGGGGTTTTTTCTTTTTTTTTTTCCTTTTTTTTTTTTTTTTTCTGTTTCCTTCCCAACCTTCTAGATGCACCAGCTCTACCCTCTGCCGGGCTCCTCAGATGCAGCTGCAGTTCGGAACACCCAGAGAGCAGCACCAGGCCCGCAGTGCAAAGTGAGGTCCTTGGCTCGGGGGGGTCTCCCCGCCAGCCCCCGGCTCTGCAGGGCCGGTGGCTGCTCACAGGCACTGGCTGCAGCCACACTTGCTGGGCTTCTCCACCTCCTCCACGAAGGTGGCACCGTTGCTGCACTCGAAGGCGTATTTCCTGCGCCGGAGCCGCAGCCCAGTGCAGCAGCTGGCGTCAGGGCCACCGCAGGTCCCCCGGCACTCCACCCAGGCCACCGGCCGCGTCGTCTGGCAGATAGCATAGCCTCGCTGCACCTGGTGATAGTCCCGCACTGGCTCCCCGCGGCACTCGGGCTCTGTGCGACAGTGAGACAGCAATGGTCAGCTCGGTGGCGTGGCATGGGGCTGCCTGCCCTGCACACCCAGCTCCTCAGCTCCTACCTTGGTCACAGAGTGCTCCGGTGTAGCCATCGTGGCACTCGCAGGTGGGCTCGCCACCTGGGGTGAGGTGGCAGTGGCCATGGACACAGGGTTGGTGGCGGCAGGGGTCGGGTGGTTCGGCAGGCTGGTTGCAGAGTGCGCCCTGGTAGCCCTCATGGCACTGGCAGCTGTAGGAGAGGGCGTCGAGGGGCAGGCACAGCCCATGCACACACCTGTGGGCACACGGTGCTGTCAGGAGCTGCTGGCACGGCACCAGCACGCACAGCCCACCAGCGCTGAGCACGGCATGGCTCAGAACCAGCACAGTGCTGCACTGCGACTGGTACAGCACAGCCATCGTGGCACAGCACAGGTCTGGCTCTGGCATGGCACCAGCAGAATAGCCTGGCACAACTCAGTGCTAGTGGCATGGCAGGGCAGCGTCATGACACAGCACCACTGTGATGGCACGGGACTGGCACGACAGCACCAGGAACCAGCCACAGGGCAGGGTGGGCAGCCAGTGGGAGAGGCAGGTAGGGCAGCCAGTGGGGCAAGGGCACTCACTTGTGTCCCTGGCAGGGACCGCCGCGGGGCTGGTCGCAGTGGGGCCCATCCCAGCCAGGCTCACAGTGGCAGACAGGGCCCTGGGCACCAGAGGGCTGGCAGATGCCGTGCAGACAGTAGAGCTTGCGGCAGGGCTCGCAGCCTGGCACCACCCCTGGCGTCATCCGCGTCTTGGTGAAGTCCTGCAACTCATTGTTGATGTAGAGGTTGCGGATGCATCCGTGGAAGCTGGTGCCATTGAGGAGCTGCCAGAGGCGGAAGGCAGCCGAGTTGACATCCACAGGCATTCCTGGGGAGAGCAGGACCATCAGCGCACCCCTGATGTCCCCCCATGCCCTCCGTCATCCAGTCCCTGTCCTACCTCCCACGTAGAGGGGAGCCTCGCTATTCAGCGTGTAGTGCTTGCCCGAGTTGTCCATGGTCATGGGGCTGCCACCATCGATGGACAGGTTCACCATCTGGTCGAAGGTCACCAGCTCCACGGTGTGGAACTGCCCGTCGTTGATGGTCTCAGCACTGGCAGGGATGGCTGGGTCACTGGGGACGCCCCCAGGCTGAAGCAATGGGGGTGGAGGTCTCCAGTGAGTGGGGAAGGGGTGCCAGGTACCTGTAGATGGCCGAGCTGGGGTAGGTGCCGGGGTCATAACTGACCCTCACATGGCCCTGGTACAGCTCCACAGCCATGTGGTCGCTGTCACCATTGTACAGCAGGATGCCATTACCTTCAGCCGTGGAGACCTGCCAGAGAGAGAGGTGGGAGCCCACATCCCTGGGGCAGACCTCCAGTGCCATCCCTCAATGTCCCCTCGCCCCCCCAGCCCTCACCTGAAGCGTGATATTGGCTCGGGGCCAGTCTTGCAGGTCAGTGAACTGCAGGTACGTGTCACGGTCCACAAAGTTGACGCTCAGCAGCTTCTCACATTTGGGGCCGCCGAAGCCAGGCAGGCACTGGCACAGGGCACGGCCACCCCTCTCCACACATGGGGCCCCGTTCTGGCATTCAGCTAGCTCACACAGGCCAGGCTGGCCAGCAGTGTGGGGCGGCATCTCGCAGAGCTGGCCACTGTGGGGCCAAGGGTGCTGCTGGGCTGGGGGCTGGGAAAGAGCCCTACACCCTGCCCAGTGCCCCACAGGGCTGACAGCATGCCCCTGATTTGGGATCTCTGGGGAGGCTCTCCCACACACTGGCATCAGAGGGATGTCTGGATGCTGAGCTGTGCCCTGGAGTCCCTCCCCAGTGATGTTGGCTCCCCGCAGCCTCCACTCCCAGAGACACACAGTCCCAGCCTCCCTCCTCCCTCTCACACTAAGGATGGATGGATGGATGGATGGATGGATGGATGGATGGATGGATGGATGGATGGACGGACGGACTTGGTAGCCAGGACTTGTCCCTTCTGCACATAGCCATCCCCACTACCCCAGGTGTCCCATGTGTTCCTGGTGGTACCTGTAGCCCTCGGTGCAGAGGCAGGAGTAGCCATTCACCTCATCCAGGCAGCGGGCGTTGTTCTGGCACCGATGGTCCTGGCAGTCATCGAAGTCCTCGCTGCAGTTGCTCCCCACATAGCCGGGTGCACACTCACACCTGGGGCAGGCAGGGGGCTCGAGGCTGCCCCTTCCTTCCCCCTTGCACCAGTGGGTGCCTGTTCCTCCCCTTGTAACACCTCTCTCCATGCCCCCTCACTGCAGTCCCCAAAAAGCAAATCTACCACCCCCACACAGCCAAAAAAGTTTGGAGAGAAGGGGGCTCACCTGGGCCCCTGGCTGGTGGAAATGCAGGTGGAGTCATGCTGGCAGGGGTTGAGCTCGTCTGAGCAGAAATTGGGTGGCTGCTCACAGAATTCCCCTGCAAGGCAGAAGAGAGGGTGCAGCTCCAGGACCAGAGGAGCAGCTCCAGGACCAGAGGAGCAGCCCCAGTCCCCATGGGGCAGAGGGGACCCCTGGGGGACTCAGCTCAAGACAGAGAGCTGCCAAGCCCACAGCTTTCACCCCACAGACACAAGGTTCTGCTCCCATGAAGGCAGCTCCTGCCTGAGCCAGGCACTGAGGGCACCCCAGGGTGGGGGGTTCAGCTGGGTGTGCCCAAACTCAAGACAGCTGAGCCTAGATGCCATGGCAATGGGCATTGAGACAGCAGGCAGAGGAGCAATTTAGCCCTCATGGGTGGGTAGAAGCACTAGGCACATTCCTATACAGGTCTTTGCCATTTGGAGATGGCTAGCCCCCATTCCAGGTACCTGTGTAGTGGGCAGGACAAAGGCAGGTATAGTTGGTGGCACTGGGCACACAGGAGCCCCCATTCTCACAGCTGTGCTCCTTGCAGGGGTCGCTGGTGATGTGGCAGCTTGGGCCCTCGAAGCCCACTGGGCACAGGCACCTGCAGTGGGGCCAGGGCAGTGTCAAGGAGGAAAACGAAACAGAACATTTTGGGGTGACTCCCCCAAAATGACCAGCAGAGGACCTTGGCAAAGACTGGGTTTGGTGTCCTCCTGTCAAACTGGGCACAGTGGTGGGTGGCAGCACAGCCTGCCTGAGGATGCTGTGTTGCCACAACAACAGGCTGAGGCCTCTCAGCACAGGGAGGGGCTGCACAGCCTATCTCCTCACCCCCAGCCTGCCAATTATTTTCGGCTCCTGACTGCAGCCTGATTCCCAGAATGGCCTAAAGCATTCAGGGCAGTGAGGGTTGTGTGAGATAAGGCAGCCCCGCAGGGAGCAGCAGTGACTCCAGGACCACAGCAACCAGTCCCAGTCCCTCTGCCTCCTGTGGTGATGGTCCCTCCTCTCCCCCACTGACCTCAACCTAGGAGGCTTTTGGGCTGGGGGCAAGGAGAAGTGGAGTCAGACAACCTGAGCTGGAGCTCCCATGCAAATACAATATCCCACCTATATGCCCAAGGGAGCCTGCAGGAGGCAAAGGAAGTTTCGGAACTTCTCTCCATGGGATGCCAGGGTCCCATGCTACTGCCCAAACACCCACCTTTCATAGGTTCCTGTTCAGCACTTACCTGAACCCAGCTCCTTCCCCCTCCTGAGGCTGGCAGGTCCCTCCATTGGCACAGGGGTTGGAGGAGCAGCCACTGAGTGCCACCTCGCAGTTCCTGCCCTGGGGAAGGATGGAAAGGTGGGAGCGAGGAGGGTGCCACTGCACCTGCCCAGCTCTCCCCAGGCCACTCAGCAGGATGCTGTGGCACACAGGGAGGACAGATGATCCCACAGGCAGCAACCCCCAGGGGTATGGCAGAGACCCTGCTCTGCTCCCTTGCCCTCTGCAGGGACATGTCCCCACACACTGGGGACCCCTGGGACTAGGGTACCTTGTAGCCACTGGGACAGGCGCAGCGGTAGGAGCCAAGGGGGTCATTGTGGCAGGTGCCCTGGTTCTGACAGGGGCTGGAGAGGCAGGGGTTGCACTTGGCCTGGACACTTAGTGCAGGTGGGCCTGTGGGATGGGAGGCACGAAGATGACTGTCAGTGCAAGGAGTGATAGGGACGTGTCCTTTTGTGGGCACCGATGTGGGGGCACAGCCTCTCGTGTTGCTGAGAGCAGAGCCTGTCCAAGGGGCTTTGCACCAGGCAATGGGACAGCCACGGGTTTGTTCAGTCACCAGGGAAGTGCCACCAGTTAGATAAGAGGATGGAAGCAACCTGGTCTCCCTCCTCCACAAGGCAGCTGAAGAGACATACTCCTGGAGCCACCCAGACTCACAAAGCATTGCTCTGCTGGGTGCCCAGAGGAGGCTGTGGATGGCCAGCATGGGCACCTCTCACCTTGGCACTCAAATTTCTTGGCAGGGGTGGTGAGCAGCAGCTTTCCTTCCATGTCGGGGGGCCCAGCACAGCGGGCAATGCCTGGCTCCTTGTAGCCTGTCTTGACCCAGCTGGAGAGCCAGCGCAGGTTGCAGCTGCAGTACAGGGGGTTGGCCCCGATGGCTCTGCATGAGGAGAGGGGCAAAATTGCATCTGCTGCCACACAGAGGCAACTGGGCACAACTCTGTCATCACTTGACCAGGATGCCACATGATGGGCAAACCAGTGCTCTTCCATTTCTGGACCCACCAGAGGTGCTGCCACCCACAATGGGAGGACTGGGACACACAGCCTCACAATGCTGTCCAGTTAGACCACCCTGCTGCCGGACCCACAGACCATGCAGTGCTCTATGCTCTGCCCTGGGGCTCTCCTCCTCTGCCCACACAGAAATCCTTGGCAGTCCCTCTCCAGTACACAGGCAAAGCTGCCTGGGGCCAGCAAACTGGGCAAAGTACGTCAAGGCCATGCAGAAACAACAGGACCTGCATGGGAGCTGCAGGGCCAGCCTGGGCTCTGCTGCACAAGCCTGCAGGACAGAGACACAGGAGTGGGCTGCTGGGAATGGCAGCAGGCCACGGCCAGAGCTTGTGCAGAGAGCAGTGTGGGAAAGCAAGGAATTGCTCTGGGAAAGGAGAAGGAGGAGGGAGGGTTGCTCTGCTCCACAGCAGAGAAGGGTACAGAAGCAGTGGATGATGTGGGAGGTGGAGGGCTTGGATGTCTCTTTGAATCCTCCTCGACTGCAAAGGTCAGCAGTGATGGAGAGCTGGTGTGACCAACACAAGTGACAAAAGAAGGAGACGGCAGCCCAGAGGGCAGGTAGTAGGGACAGCAGATCTGCTGAGCTCACTAACCTGGTCCTACAGCACCTGCAGCACCAGCTGTGACACAGCTCAGCCTGTGAGAACTGGCAGTGCCAGCTGTCTGCAGTGAAGGCAGCAAAACCAAGCGTAATTGGAGCACAGCAAGCAGTGCTTCTCCCCAAAAAACAAGGAGGCCAGGACTGGGTATCAAGCTGCTCTTTGCAGACTGAAGGAACAGCCTGAGATGCCCAGGATGCCAGGAGCAGGCAGCTGGGAACAGCTTAGTTAGGAGACAGGGAGCTAACCAAAAAGACACTGTGAGCAAAGTTAAACCCTGGCCCCGGTTGGTGGGTATAGGGCAGTGCTCCTGGGGTGCAAGCTCAAAGAGGGGCTGAAACACCACCACTGGCAGGAAGATACTTGATGATGGATTGGGGGACTGCTGTGGGGAAGTGCACTGGCAGAAGCTAACAACACACTGATGTATGTCAGAGCAGCCCCTGCCAACCCACAGCTATGACACCACTTTGCATGGCTTAACCTACATCTTGGGGGACCCCAGAGATCTAGTGGGTTGGAGAAGGACCCCACACCACATCCACCTAAGACCATAGGGACATCCTAGCAGCACTGGGAGACTCAGCTGCACACCTGGATCTGAGCATGGGCAGCAGGTCACAGCACTATCCAACAAATGATGTTGTGGGTACCAGCCCAGAGAAGAGGGGAGAAGGCAGCTCGCCCTCTAGGGAAGCCAAGCTCAGCTCAGTAGTTTTTGAATGTCTGTGGAGCCTGCATCCAACCCTGAACCCTGAGGAGTGGGAGGAGATACTCACAAGTGGGACAGGGAGGTGACATCTGCAAAGATGCCCTCGGGGAGGCTGGAAATGTCATTGCCATGGAGAGACCTGCAGAGAACAGAAAGTCCTGCAATGCCCAGGGCTCCAAGGTGGGCAGCAAGGACTGTGGCCTCATCCCACAGGTCCAGGTGTGGGTGGCAGAACTGGACGCCACATTGTCACTTTTGCAAATGCACCATCTGCTCTGAGAGCAGATGAACCTTCCCGTGCTCCTCCTGCAGCCTCTACCTCGCCCACCTGCATGCACCCAGCTCCAGGGGGGCACAGGGGACACAGGGACATGGGCAGCAGCAGAGAAGGGGCCAAGCAGGGTGTGAGCAGGGCTTTGGGCAGGTACTTACAGCAGCCGCAGGGAGCGGAGGCCCTCAAAGGCCAGGGGAGGGATGCACTGCAGGGAGTTGTAGCTGAGGATCCTGCAGAAGGGAAGCAGGCAACACAGCTGTGTGTGTTGCAAGAAACCCACCCTGGGCTCCACGCTGCTCCTGTGTGAGTTCCATCTCAAACCGCAGCTTCACTTCACACAGGGTGGAGACCCTGGAATCCCCAGCACCTCCCAGCCTTCAAGACCCCCAGAACAACTCAGCTGGGCTGCAGCCCAGTGTGGCTCCACGGGGACCTCACTTACAGGGTGGTGAGCTGGCTCATGTTGGTGAAGGAGGAGTTGCTCAGGGAGCTTATCTTGTTATTGCTCAGATCACTGGAAAACAGAAACCTCAGGGCTAGGAGCCAGCTGGGCCCTGTCCCCTCTCACTGCTCCCCAGCCTGCACAGCTGCCATGGGGTGCACACAGCAGCATGGCACAGCCTCCAAGGGAGCAGCAGAGCTGTCACACGGGGTGATGGCAGCAATGCCACTTGTCCCCTCTCTGTTCCACGCCCGGCACCAGGTGGTGAGCAGCCAGAGGCTGAGCACTGCTGCCAGTGAGTTGTGCTCCAGAGCAGAGTGGGGATACAGGGGGATGTCAGGGGTCCCCACACATTGCCAGACCCCTCCTCAGGATCACACACCATGGAGACAGCCCCTGCCCTCACCCTCAAGTTCCAGCAGTGCCTCCAGCTGCCTGGGCTCCTGCTCCTGACTACTTACACAAGCTGCAGATACTTGAAAGTAGAGAGCTGCCCCGGGACTTGAGTGAACTGGTTTCCATCCAGGTAGCTACAAGTGAGAACAAAAGCACCTCGGGGTGACTGAGAAGGAGGAGGTCCCTCCCTCTTCCCCCTCTTTCTCTTGTGCACCACCACGGACTTCAGGCTGCAAGAAACATCTCCAGCATCACATTCCTCCTGCCAGGGTCCAACGGGCTCTCAGGGCACTCCTAGGCTGGCAGGGGAGCCAGTGTGTGAGTGCATGAGCACACCTGGGTTTGCACACGTGTCCCCGGAGACATTCTCCCAGCAGTCTACGTGTGCAAGTGCAGCCAGCAATGTGCTGCATACAAATCCAATGGGAGCGTGGGAGGCTGTAACCATTCCCAAGGCATGTGTGAGAATGTGAGAGATGGCACAGGATGCAGAGAGAGGAGGAGTGTGCAAGACAGTGGAGGGGGCTGCGGGGGTGGTATGCATATAAATATATATGTGCCCAACCAGCGCCTGCACCTCCTGCACACAGGACTTTATGCCATGCCTCACCCCCAGAGCCCCTTTCACAGCAATGGGCATCACATCCAGCTCAGGCATGGCTGCATGGATATCTCCCTGACACCCATGCTGATGGGTGGCTGACCCCAGGCAAACCACATTCCATTGCCCATGTGCTCGAGGCTGGTGCTGCCGAGGCATCCCTGCAGCTGTGGTGAGAGCAAAGACAGGGTGCCTCCGTCCCTGCTGCTGATGGCAGGCTCCTGGGAACCACAGAGCCCTGAGCTGCACGGCTGCGTGGGGACCACAGCTGCAGGAGTGGTTGTCCCTCACTGTCCTCTCCCAAGGGCCAAAGATAAGGTCCCAGCTGCTGGATGACAATACCTCTTTCACAATACCCTTGATAGCCCTGACTCTCAGAGATTCTTACTGAGCCACTTGCTGGTGCTGTGGTACCCAGGATACCTTGGATGGGTGGGGTCCTAATCGCACACCAGGCGAGGATGGGGGTGTAGGGAGGAGTCCAGGGGTCTCTGCCCTGACACCTGCAACCCCACAGCAGAGACCCCTCGCCCAGAGCAGTAAAGTTGAGGGAGGGTTAGGGGAGAGCTTGGGTACTCGCCCACTACTCACAGCTCTGTGACGTTCTTGGGGATCCCCTTGGGCAGGGCTTTGAGGTGCTTGTTGCTGCAGCGGACAACCGTGTCCAGGCAGGTGCATTCCTGTGGGCACTGGGGCCGGGGGATGCAGGTGGTCTCCTCCTTACCTGCATCAGGCATGGAAAGCCACCAAGTCACGAGGGCCCAGCCCTTGTGCATTGTGTGAGGCCAGATTCAATGCTTTGTGCCTGCCTAGGATGGCTCCCCTTCCACGTCAACCATCCTCCCCTGCCCTCAAAGCAGGATGTTGCAGGCAATAGCAGTCAGGAGTTAGCAGTGAAGGAATTGCTCCTGCACCCAGAAATTGCATGCCCCACTACTGTGGATACAACCAGCCAGCTCAACACTGCTGATTTTCACCATTTTCATGCAACAATGCAGTCACAGGGACAACAAAGGTAAGGGCGCAGAAGTAGCTCAGGCCTGCAAATCCTCCTGAAACAACCTCCTTCACCCATCTCCCAGATACAGACTAGATGGAGCCTATGCCGAGCAGCCAGAGGAGCTGTCTCTGCTCCCCTGCCATGATGCTGGAATCCTGCAGGAAAGGCTTTCCTGGGACAACCGTATGCTATCTCACACTGTTAGGAAAGGCGCAGGATGCAACCCTTCAGTGTTTGACGTGGTGGAGGAGGGAAAGCAGAAGAAAGGATGATTTGTTTGTAAATATTTTCCAGAGGGCTCAAAAGCTGCTCTAAATTTAAAAAAAAAAATATAAGAAGAGGTTTTTCTCCCCACGCACGCTCCCGTCTGCTCCATCTGCCCACTGCCAGCTCTGGTGCATGTGCAAGGCTGAGAAGGGAAGGCAGGAAGGAGCAGGATGGATCCCAGTGGGCTTTGCTGACACATCTGCTCCTGTCAGCACCCAGGGCACAGCGTTTGCCAGCATCGATCCACAAGAGCCCCAAGGTGCAGTGGGTGCAAACTCCTCTCCTGGCTTCAGAGTGGATATTTGAGTGCCCATGGGCTGGGTACTGGGAAGGGAAACTTTCTTATCATTAGGGGAGGGCATTCATGGGGCCCCCTGAGCTACTGCCTTGTCATGGGCACATCCTGGCAGCAAGGACAACGCTGGGACAAGGAGAATGGTGTCATCCTGGGAGGAGCAGCCTGGTCTCCCCTCACCCTTGGTGCTGCAGGGCCCATGAGTTACCTTCCTCACACCTGAAGTCAGGGAAAGCCACATCCTGGAGCGGGATCTGCCGGAGGAAGTCAGGGTTTTGGCACCGAGGGTTCCCTGTCACGATCTTCCTCTTGCGCAGCCAGTCCCCCAGCCAGGCCAGCTGGCAGTTGCAGTTGAAGGGGTTGGCGAGCAGGTTCCTGCACGTGGGAAAGAGTACAAGGACAGCACCTGAACAACCACCAGGCAAGGGGACCTGCAGCCCTCTGATGTGACATAAGACAGGCTGGGGGGCACGCCCCGGGGCCCAGGACATACAGTGTGGAGAGGGACTGCAGAGTGTCAAAGGCGCCCGGGGCAATTGTGGTGATCTGGTTGTCATACAGAGAGAGCAGGCGGACGTTGCGCAGCCCTGTGAAGCTGTCGTTGTGGATGCAGCTGATGCGGTTGTTCCTCAGCATCCTGCAGAGGGAAGAGAACAAGGGCACCTACAACACAGGCAGGTACCACAGGGGAAACCCACCTTAGCAGTGCTCAGGCTGTGCCCACCTCAGTTCTGGGCAGCAGAATGAGCCTGAGCAAGTCCCTGAGCAGCAAAAACCTGCCCCCCCAGCACTGGATACAGCCAGCTGCTGGGCAAGGCATCCTGAGCTGGCCCTGCAGGGAGGCAAGGAGTAAGGACATTCCCATCTGGGTGCTCATGGAGGAGAAGGGACTCACAGTGTCCTCAGCCCGTCCAGGCCCCTGAACATGCCACTCCGCACAGACTCCAGCTGGTTGACAGTGAGGTGCAGCTCATTGACAGAGGATGCCCCCTCAAACGCCCCATCCTCGATCTCTGACACCTTGTTGTTGCTGAGGTTGCTGTGAAGAGGTAAAAGCAGGCTGGATGAGGGCTTTGCCTTGACTTCATCCTGAACTCTGCCTCTCCCATATCCCACTAAGCACCCTCAGAGGACCCTCAGACTGGGACATGCCCTCCATTTCACACCCCAGTGTGCCCTGGCATCAGGACCCTATGTGCCTTCCCAGCCCTCGGGCACTCCTGACATGACTGTGCCTGCCTAATACTCACATTTTCTTCAGATGTGGGAGTTTCTTGAAAATGCCAGTGGCCTCCAGGATGGAGATTTCATTGTTGTTCAGGCGCCTGGAGTGGGCAGCAGGGAAAAGAGCTCAGGAAATGGCTACAAAGCGCCTGGTACAGCCTAAACCCCGAGCCAAACCCCAGTGCCAGCAAGGTGCCTGCTGCAGGAGGGAAGGCAGAGTGAGAGAGGAGACTCTTACAGCTCAGCTGTGGACTGTGGGATGCGATCTGGGATCTTGGTGAGTTTCAGGTTGGAGCACTCAACCACACCAGATTCACAGCGGCATTTTGGGGGGCAGATCACGTCACTGTTGCATTCACTGTTCAGCTGGTAATCCTCTGTCCCTGTGTGATGGTGAAGGCAGTGTGGGCTACCAGGGGCAGAGGCACAGGGGACCGCACCTCCCCCCTCTCCCTCTGATCCTCCCACATCCCCATCTGCTCTCATTTTCTTCCCCAGCTCCCCTCATTCCAGTCCCTGTGCACATATTACTCCTCTCCATGCCCAAAGCAGCTTATCTACAGAGATATTTGTCCCGGGTACATGGGGCACTGCACTGCCCACCACCCTCCTGCAAACAGCAGGTATTCAGCACATGGGAAATGAAAGAGCTCTGGCACAACATCCTCCCAGGCAGCCTGGCACCATACACACACCCATGCACATGTGTGTGGCTCCTCTGCTCACCTGGGATGAAATACTGCTCTTTGGCTGTGGGAAAAAAAAAGCACATCAGCCCTGTGAGCATACAGACAGCAGGCTGGGACAGGGCTGAGGACAGCCGTGCCACAGGACGCCTGTGACAGGGCTGGGGACAGCTCTCACCCGAGCAGCGGAACTTCTTGCTCTTGATCTGGCCAATGCGCTTGTTGGCCAAGCGCCGCGGGCTGGCACAGCGGGCTCCACTGGTCTCCACGGGGTTGGCACGCAGGAAATCCGCCAGCCACTTCAGGTTGCAGTCACAGATGAAAGGGTTCTGGGCCAGGTGCCTGTGCCAGGGACAGCAGGTGACACACTGCCAGGGACAGTGGGTGACAGAGCACCAGGAGCAGTGGGTGAGCACCAGCTCCAGCCCTGGAGATGCTTTTCCCTCAGAGGCTCGCCTGCCCAGGCATGGGAGCTGGCGTGGACACTCACAGAGTCTGGATGGCCCGCAGGGAGGTGAAAGTGCCTTTGGCCAAGCTCTGGATCTTGTTGTCATAGAGTGAGAGCAGTGAGAGGTTCTGCAGGTCCTGGAAGGCATCTGCCCGTACACAGTTGATCTTGTTGGCATTGAGAAGCCTGGCAGGGAGGGAGGTATGTGAGTCTGGGGACACCCCTTCACTGCACCAAGGGTGCTAGGGACTTCAGTCCTGCTTCCCTATGTCACTGAAAAGCATCCCACACAGCCAATGGTGCCTTACAGCAGCTGCAGGGCAAAAAGTCCTCCAAAGACACCCTTAGGGAGGTCCGTGATCTTGTTGCCATACAGAACCCTGGAAAAGAAAGGCTGGTGTGAGAGAGATGGGGGGAGTGATATGGGCCATGGTTAAGGGGTACAGCATCCACCCCATCCCACCCATACCACTGTAGGCACTTACAGGGAGTTCAGTGAGCGCAGACCCTGGAAGGCGTCAGGGGCGATCTCTGAGATCTGGTTGTTGCTCAGGTCTCTGAAACCCAAAAGGAGAAGGTGGCCTGGTCCCCTCTTCTCTTGTCCTATGTACTCATCCTTCTGCTAGTTCCAGGGGACCATCCCCAAGACCCAATATACAGCGCTGGGGTTATCCAAGACCCCCTCCCAGTGCTGCAGTAAGGGGCACCCGTGTCACAGTAGGCGCCCCATGTCTGTCAGTTCTCAGCATGGCCAGCAGGGTGAAGGCTGTTGGGGTTCAGGGTGAGCTGGTAGAGGCTGCACTTACATCCTTCGCAGCTTCTTGTAGGGTGAGAAGGCTCCTGGGGGGATGGACTTGATGCCATTAAGTTCCAGACGTCTGCAAAGAGAATAGGGAGAGATGAGGGCTCTAGGGCTGGCCACACCCCAGTACCCCACTGACAGAGCTGGGCCTGCAGGACCCCTAAGGTCGCAGCAAGTTACCCCACAGGAGTGCACATATTCTGCCCAGAGACAACTTGCATCCTGTGGTTGGGGCTTTCTCCATCAGGGAGAGGTGCCATGGGTGGGGGAACCATGGTGGCTGGGGTGGAGGAAGCACCTCTCCTCCCCAGCACCGTGGGTTTGGGGGTGCCTGCTGCCTCCCAAATGCTTTATGCACGATCCCAGCAGGGGCTTTGCACCGTAATTGGATTCCTCTAAGGAGATTATTTCTCTATTTACATTTTTAATGCAGCTAAATCCAGGGCTAAATCTGGGCAGTGTGAGAGAAGGGCAAGGAAGGCCTGCTGCCCTACAGGCTGAGCTGCAGGGCTTGCTCCTGTGCTCCCAGTGCCTTGAGCCACCCAGAGCCCAGATGATGGTGTGGGGCCATACTCACATCTCTGTCATGGTCTCGGGCAGGTTGGCAGGGATGGCCGTCAGCCCCTTGCCCCGACAGTCCACAATGCCGTTGCTGCAAGTGCACATGGCTGGGCAGGAGCCAGAGGACAAGCTGCAGAGCTGGGCATGTGCTGAGTCCGTTTGTCCTGCCAGGGAAGCAGCCAGCATTGGAATTGCAAAGAGCTGAGCCAGGCCAGTATGTGGCAGCACCCTGAAGAAGGGACCCTGGTGACAGCTCAGCATGCAGGGACAGTTCACAGCATCCTTGAGTGGGCACATAAGCACCCCAACCCCCTGTAAAAGCTCTAAAGGCACAGACTGACATACTGTCACACTGATAGGGTGGCATTGTCCCTATATTGCCCTACACCAAGGACTGTGCTGGCCTGAGATGAACCCACAGCATGGGCTCTGAGGCTCTGACCTGGGGCACATGGCAGGGAATGGACATGGGCTGCACTGGTGGCACAAGCCTTGTCCCCCCGGCCCATGTCTCTGCCCTGGCACCCACCACGTCCCCTGCCCCCTCACCGGAGCAGCTGAACTCGTTCTTTTGTATCTCAGCCACATTGAGGCCACGAAGCTGGGCAGGAGCAGCGCACTGGGTGAAGAGCCCGATGGTGGGGCGCTGGCGCAGCCACTGTGAGAGCCAGGCCAGGTGGCAGTCGCAGAAGAGATGGTTGGAATGCAGGCGGCTGCAGGCGGATGGATGGAGCAGTCAGCAGCCACAGGACAGCTCCTGCCCACCCCACTGCCCTCTCAATGTCCCAGCCTGGCTCATCCCGAAGGCTGGGAGCACTCAGAGGGAGATACAGAGGGGCCTAAGAGCATCTGTGACAGTTGCCAAGGCTGCCTTGCTTGGCAGTACTTGGGGATGCTTCCCAGGGGTATCCCCTCCATTCCCTCGTCATGCTGCTGTCCCAGCACTACTGAGCCACCAGCACCAGCAGCAGAGCTGGAGACATCCCACTCTAGCCTAGGAGGTCACTCCCACCACCACCACAGCCCTGGCACTCACAACGTCCGCAGCTTTGGCATGTGGTTGAAGCTGGACACAGGAATTGAAGTGATATTGTTGTTATTCAGGGTCCTGCAGGAAGACAAAGAAGGACAGGTCAGGGCAGACAGGCTGTAAATAGGAAAATGAGATGGTCTAGGTGGCACTAACCCCTGGGAGCAACCTAGCACAGGGTGAATGGATGGAGAACTACAGGCTAAAGACAGCCCAAACCCCCATCAGGACTTGCTGTCCTTTCCAGGCTTCTCCTCTCCACAGCCAGTGGCACCCTGGGGCACAATCAAGCCCTGGAGCACAGCTCTGCAGCAGCTCTACCAGAACCCTGGTCAGCCCCTGCTCAAGCCCAGGGAGAAATGGCATGCTGGGGATGTCCCTGCAGCACCCCAGTGAGTGAGGACACTCAAGGACACCCTCATCCTGCATGGGGTTGCAGACTGGAGGCTCCAGCCTGTCCCCAGTCACTTACAGGACCTCCAGCCCCCGCAGGGCACGGAAAGCCCCATCCTCAATGCAGCTGATCTGGTTCTTGTCCAGCTGCCTGCAGGAGAAAGGGAAAAAAAGGAGAACTGTTGGGACAGCCCAGGGAGAAAGCAATCAGTGCTCTTGATCGCTTCCACTGCCCGCTGCCACTGGACCTGACCCCAAACTCCCTCATGCCCAACAGTGCCAGGACTCACAGGTTCTTGAGGTCCGTGGCCCCACGGAATGCTTTCCTGGGGATGGCCTGGATGAAGTTCTCACTCAGGTCCCTGCAGAAGAAAGAGACAGGAAGGTAAATGGGCAGTGCCTGCACAGTGTGATGTCCCATAGGAGCAGGGCATCGACAGGCAAGGGCACACCCCAGCACCCAGTGATCCCTCAGAGACTCAGACAAACTGTAATTTGGCTTCAGGTCCTTGGCTGACCACTGCTCTGCTGGCTGTCCTCAGGCAAGTCCAGCTCCACCTATGGTGGCTCAAAGTCACTGGGGCTCCCTGGGCACTGCAGTCCCTGGCTGTGACAAGCAGAGCTGACTGGCACTGGGAAAACCCTCCATACTTAAATACTCTCTGACTGCTGTAATTACAGGTCCCTGCTGATTAACTGGTAATTACACTTAGTGGCTCCAGGAGGCATTCCCATGGAGCCTGACCTGCACTTCAGAGGGCACAAATAATCGGGTCATTATTTACTTCATCACTGCAGGGTACTGTCTTCTGTGTAATCACCTGCTCTGCATTGCCAGGGCATGCCAAGCCAGCAAGGGCTCTGTGTTGCAGGGCTGGCAGCAGGTCAGATCCCCCACCATGCCTGGGCTGGCTTTTAAAGACCATGAAGATGACAAATCTCACTGCACGTAGGGTCTGGGTGGACTGGCTCAGTTGTGGGAAGACCTGTTTGTTTTATGTATTCTCCATGACTCCCAGACAGCCATTCCCTCTCCCACCCTAATAGCCAGCAGCTCCTCCGAACTTGTCTGGCAACTGCATTGCCTGCTCCCATCCCGGGATGCCAGCACAGTCTTGCTCCAGCCACCCCTGGGGTAGGAGGTCAAGTTCCCATCTCCTTCCTGGCAGAGGGAAACTGAGGCATAACATAGCTTTTTCGCTATGCAAGTCCATGGGTGAGTGAGGAGGAGAACCAGGGTATCCTGCACAGATTAATTGTCCCCAGAATTACACAGGCTACACAGACACCCCCATCTCAACCCCAAGAAGTGGTTTAGGGTGTCCATAGATGTCAGCATTTCACACATAGTGCTCACCAGCTCTGCTTCAACACAGCCTGTTTGCTATTGATACCCTACAGCTGGACCAGGCCAGGATGGAGGCACAACATCCACATTCCTCCCCATATCCTTATTTCCTCCAAAAAGTGGGCTCAACAAATGGACTTGCAACAAGCTGCTTGCAAAACACCTGGAGGACTCCAAACTGGGACTTCACCCCAGCTGAAAGCTTCACTGCTGCAACGAGAAAATGTTCCCAGAGGGAAGCACCAGCATTACTTGCACAAATGCATGAGGAAAAAGAAAACAAAAGGACAGCCTAGCCCTCCAGTGGGATGCCTAGCCACCAAGGAGATGCTATACAGTCCCAGCGTGACACACCAGCTCCTGTCCCCTGCACAGTTTGTGCATCAATCTGGGTCATTCCTGGGAAACCAAACGCAGCTGGCAAAGCATCATGGCTGGGGCAGTGGAAGGGAGGAACTGCCCAGGCTTCTTGGGAAGGACAAGCCCAGCTCCTCTGCGCGCAGCAGGCGCAGTTTCACAGCATCCCACGTGGCGGCACTGCCAGGCTGCCCTGCCTGCGCTGCTGCCCTGCTCCTGCTGCCTGCCCTGTCTGTGCCACCTATTCCCAGAACTCCGGCCCGACACGCCCACGAGGGATCAGTGTCCCCTCACCCTCTCCAAACAGAACGGACGAGACACCTGCAGCAGCCTCCAATTGTCCCGCACTCCTTCAAATACAAACATCTTCTCCTCATACTATGTTGGGGATGCAATGAGCCTGGGGACTCCCAGGAATTGCACTGACCTTTCAGAAAGAGACAGCATTGCACAAATTCCTCTTTTCTCTTTTAGCTCCCAAAAGGAATCCCTTAGAAAATTCTTTGGAAAAGACAGCAACTTTTTTACATGGGCAGGCAGCGATAGGGGGAACAGTTTTAAACTAAAAGAGCAGGTTTTAAATTAGATGTAAAGAAGAAATTCTTTACTGTGAGGATAGAGAGCCACTGGGACAGGCTGTCCAAAGAACTTGTGGATACCCCATCCCTGGAAGTGCTCAAGTGTAGGTTGGATGGGGCACTGGGCAACCTTATCTAGTGGGTGCCATCCCTGCCCATGGCCAGGGGTTTGAACTAGATGATCTTCAATGTTCCTTCCAACCCAAACCATACTATGATTCTACGAACCCTCCAGGTGCAGTTGACCACTCTTCCTAGCAAAACATTCAATGCAGCACATTCTTTCTTGGCAGCTGCCCGTCCTCTGACATGAAACCCATCACAGAGCTGAGCACCACAGTTCAGTGCTCTGCACCCCTCTCCCAGCTCTGGCACTGCCTGCCCAGGCAGGTCCTGTCTGCAGTTTGTTTGGCTCCCCCATGCAAAGTTTGCTCCCTTTTCTCTGCTTGGAGCACATGGGAGTCCCAGTGTGCCCAGGGAGTAAACCCAAGCGTCTGTCTCCAAGCTGCTCATTTACAGCTTGTGAGGGAAACACTGCTAGAAGGTTTCAACTGACTTTGCGAGGCTTCTCCTCTTCACAGCTTTTTGTGACAGTCACCGATGAAGTGCTGCCGTCGGGGGTACCAAAGCCAAGAGGGACAGACGCTGGATGCGAGAGTTTCAGCAAGGCCCCAGCACGGGCTTAGATGACATTGCACGGTTACACAGCTGACGACACCAGGACAAACACATGCTTTGCCTGTGGAATCCTCGGCCCCGGCGTTGGAACAAGGCACGGCCCCTTCCCTCCTGGTGTTTCATAGCTCCCAGCTATGTTTGCTTTACACTTTGGCGCAGAAGAAACAGCAGATGGCACGGCTTCTCCTCGCTCCGCCGTGCCGCTCACAGCACCCGCGGCGGCCACATCGGTGCCACCTCATGCCCCGCCAAATATGAGTGTCACTGCCATCGTGTGTGGAGTGCCAGCTGCAGCAGTGACCACGAACACTGGCAGGTCTGACAGCCCCGCTGGGGACCAGCTGATGGACAGGCAGAGACAGAGAAGGGGGAGTTGTCACAGTCACGCTGCCTTTTCTGGTTTCACTTCCAGGCATTGTCCTAAAGCTCCAAGTTTAAGAGTTCCTGGCTATTGAATCCAGGCGTTTACCAAAGAGCCAGCCACTGTCCTTCCATCCCTGTGCCATGATCCCAGCAGCTGGAGTTTATCCTTGCACAGCACAAGGTACAGAGGGCTCTGGTAGACCCAGGGGTGCAAAGGGGGAAGTATAACAAGGGGTAAGGAGGTGATGGAGGGCATGTCTCTCACCACGCTCACCTCCCACGTGGACTTCTGACCCAGCAGATGCCTGTACAACAGCAGCAGCCAGCTCCAACCCACAGCTGTGTGATGGCAGGAAGGCAGGCACCCACTTTTCTTCCAAGTCCCCCGAAAGCCTCGTGGCCGGACTATATCCACACAAGTCCTCCCTGGCTGGGCAGTGAGAGGGATGGCGGTGGTCAGGGATTGGGATTTCAGGAGCTTCCCCGCTCAGAAATTACACCCGGCTGCTCTGCCCCACGGTGTGTGCCATGGCTGTCGGCGCGGTATTGTGGCGACTCAGGAGGTGCCCCGGCGCTGCCTCTGCTGGCAGCCACAGCTCATCCCACCGCCTCCGGTTCCCGGGGAGCCTCGGCCAGGAGCCAGGCACAGGGACGCGGCTCCTCGGGGCTGGCAGGGGCTCGGCGGTGGGAGCCAACCCCCCAGCGCGGCGCTTAGCGGGGCGCCCGAGCAAAACTGTTCGACATGGCTTCCCAGTGGGGAGCCCACTCAGGCGAACAAACCCCGGCTGCTTTAATCTCCCCGGCAAGAGCCCGCCGGGCCGGAGGGCGGGCGAGAGGGAGGGGGCCGCAGCGGGGCTGCGCCGGCCGGGCAAGGAGGCCGGAGCTATTACCACGCTCTCATTCTTTTGGCTAATCCTGACTTCACACTTTAACCTGATTGAGCCTTGTTTGGCGAGGCGGCTCCTTGCGCGCCGTGTGAGGGGATTAGGGCCGGACGCAGCAGGGCGGTAATTGCTTCCCGGCGGCGCTGGCCCCGAGCCCCCCGCTGCCAAGAGCGCCGGGCCGGGCTGGCAGCCCTCCGGCAAGGCGCTGCCCTCGCCAGGCTGCCCGGCTTGGCAGCGCCCGCGGGGCTGGCTCCGCTGCTGGTGCACAGGTCCGTCCTTCCCAGTGTCAGCAGCCACGCGGGCACCTTGTCCAGGCCAAAGCTGCAGCCCGTGGCGTGTCCCAGCTGCACTGTGCCAGGTGAGTGACTTTCCACCCTGGCAGTGCCCTGGCATGCCCGGGACCAGTGCTGACTCCAGGCAGGTGAAGTGCAGGAGGCTGCTCGTCTCTTTACCTTGTTTCCTCCCCAGCATCCATGCTGGAAACTCATTATGGGGGCTTCAGCCTCTGCCAGCCCACAGCTCCCACAGTGAAAATGCCTGGCTTTGCATGCCCCTGGCTCACAGCCACTGCAGCAGCTCTGCTCCACCAGTGCTGACACCAGCCACTGCAGGCACCAGCTCATCCACCAAGCCTCCAGCAGAAAAGACAACCAAGCCACTAGCCCTGCAGAGCATCAGTGTTTCAAGCTGGGACAAATGCTCCCCAGATCCTAGCCTCACCTCAGTGGTGCTGTGCCAGAGGCAGCTGTGCCAGAGCACAAACAGCATTTCCCCAGCAAGGGCTGTGGCACCTGCAGCTACTAAGCAACCCAGATCACCCTGCACATACACTCTGTCCCAGCACAGCCTGTCCAGGGCAGAGGGATGAGCAGAGACAGGGCTGACAGCTGTTCACACCACCACCTTCACTGCCTGACAGGTGACAAGGGGTGAGCTGAAGGGACAGTAAGACTCCTGCATTACAAAAAATCAATAGACTAATCAGCACTTGCATTAGTAGCAACAGCCCAGAGTCTCCCAGGGGCTCTTCAATCTCTACTGCCACTTTAGGGCAGGAGCTGCTGCAGCCACTGCTTGTGCCAGCTTCAGCACCTGCAGCCCTGTGCCCACATGTCCACAATCCCCCATGTGGTGACACAACCCACTCGAGGTAA